AGACGATGGTTGCTGCCAGGGAATGGGTATGACAATGATGCATGCTGCAGTGCCTATGTGATAGCTTCCGGGGATTCAGAGCGGCGAGGAGGGTGATTTTTCTATGCTCTCTTCCGCCTCCTTGCTGAAGCCTGTCGGGTCTTTCTCACTCTCTTGGCCTCGCTCTTTTTTCGTATTTTTATGTTTGTCGTTTTTTTTGTTTGTTCAAGCCTTGTTTTTTGGGGTCCCCCGCCCACCCATCGTGTAGCAATGCGCATCTAAACACGGACGGCAGGGTTATTATTGAGGTGCAGGAGTTCGTCTGTGGGTGGTTTTATAAGTCTGTTTGGTCTTGTTGTTGTTACTAACTTCCGCCCCCCTACCGATAACGCCTTACTCGCGTAGCGTTGCGCATCTCCAACAGCAAGGAGAATGGAGTACGCATGATGTTACGTTGTACGTCATTCATGTTGTGGGTTGATGTTTTTTGTGACGACAACTAAATGCAAGTTCGCCCGGGCGTTTTTTGCTCTACCGAGTGAGAGGGACTAAATTTACCGGTCGGTCCGCGTTCTGGTGTTCTCGTTCATTCGGGTGTGTGTGACAGTGCGTAGATAGTGCGTACTGGACAGATCATCAGCGAGCATCATTAGCGAGGAGATTGTTGACAGCATCGAGTCCCTCGCCACAAAAAGTGCATACAGTGGTTGGCCCGATATAGTGGCATGTAGGGGCAATAGGAGAATATGCCACTTTTCAGGGCAGTTCTGAAGCTTTAGCTTCAGTCTCATATTTCAATATCCGTGGGTGGAACTTTTATTCGCATAGCCCACCCCTTGCCCGACCCGGTCTCAAATGCCAATCTCGAGCTACAGTGTAAATCTCGTGGCGCCCGAAGTATGGTTCGGTAGGCAATCGCGAACCATTACCCCTCCCCGAGTTTCAGGGGCTTCCACCTGCTGTGGCCGACATGACTCGGCCTGGACTGTTCCTTGTCTGTGTCGCCATGGGAACGGCCGGTTGAACAGTGAAAGAGGGTCGTGCGTGCTGCGCGCCACAATAATTTGTTTTTTTTGTGATTTTCTTCGTGAGTGACCATGCTGCTATTGCAGAATTGCTTCAGGCAAGGTTGTGATATCGTGTCTGTCGCTTTGGGGTGCTCGCGTCGCGTAGTATGCGATGCGCGTCGCTTACTTTGTCGCCTGTTGTGTCGTTATACATGAAAAGCAACAGCAGCACAACAGTTGAGACAGACAACAACAGGCCTTTTTTCTCTCTTGCTGCATATATATGCATGGATGGGTGGTATGCATGGTAATAGTCTAAGCGGCATATTGCATGGGTGGCATACATCGAATAGGTGTTGATCCTTTTCGAGTCTGCTGCGTAGTCAGTCGTAACTTGAGCGATAAGGTAGATGGCAGCACAATCTTATTTACAACAGAGAGTGAAGTATGGCAACCAACAGTCTGCTGCTCTGTGCAGCGGTGCACATCTATCGCGGACGGACTAGTTCGTCCGTGTAGTCATGTTTTTTGTTCTCACTTCGTCACAGAAGGATGAAAGTCCGCACTACTCTAGTCTATCTAGTTCCAACTCGGCGACTTGTGGTGGTTGTGTTTGTTGTTGCTGAGCCCACTTCGGATACCGCCGTTCGGTACATATGTCTGACAGCCTGCGGTGGGCCAAAGGGACGAGAGTGAGTGAGTGTCTTCTCGAGAGTGAATGCCTTGTCTTCTCTCCGCTCTCTTCTTTTAGTCTCTCTCTCGTCTTTCGCCGGTGGGGTCCCAACCATATCGAACCACGTCAACCGCAGTGGTTTCGCATCTTGCTGAGTAAGAGACTACCCGTGCACCGGGCTGCTGCATGAGAGGCGATGTGCGCTACCTGTTTTATGTCAAGCAATGGACTTGGGGCCCTACCTAATCCTGGACATGCAGTGCTATGTGACATGTTCCAGCGGCCCAGAGCGAGCGACGACCACGGTGGGTTTTCTATGCTTCTTTTGCCTCCTCCCTCAAGCCTGTTCGCCTGGCTCACGTGTCTTTGATCTTTTCTTTTTTTTTTCATGCTTTGTTTGTTGGGGTCCCCCAGCCACCCCCGCCAACCATTAATTTTTGTTGGGAGGGGTGTTTACTTGCCATGTTCATGACTGGGCCCCGGACTTTTTACTCGCACCCCGTCCATTTCCACTTGTCAACACACCACCACATCCTATTGTACCATGCCCAACACACGTCCAAGGCCTGGGGAATTTTGAAGCTTTATTTAGCTTCAGTCTCATCGTTCGAGTTTGAACGGCTTCCGCCTCCTGTGGCCGGCAAGAGTCGGCCTTGACTGTTCCTTGCCTGTTTCGCCATGGAATCGGCCGGTTGAACAGCGAAAAAGGGTCCTGCGTGCTGCGCGCCACAATTTGTTTTTTTTGCGTTTGTTCTTGAGTGACCATGGTAGGTAGTAGTACACATGCGGCTGCTGCTGCGGTTTCTGCTGTTTATGGTCGGAATGTGTTGCAATGGTCGTACGGTTATTATCGTAGTCAGGTTTGACAACAGTCTACTCGTTCGTATAGCGGTAGCGGTGCGCATCTATCGCGACGGCAAGCGCATTGAAATAATAGTTCGTCCGTCGTGCTTCTAGTCTACACAGACAGATAGTTGTTGCTGAGCGCACATCGGATGTCGCCGTTCGTTACACGTGTTCAAGCCTGCGGTGGACCAGAGGGATGAGAGTGAGCGTCTTCTCGACCAGAGTTCATGCCTTGTCTTCTCGAGTCTCTCTTCCTTTAGTCTACCTCTCTCTCTCTCTGTTGCATTCTCGCCGTTAGGGTCCCCAATAACATCAAACGTCAACGGCAATCGTTTTGCGTCTTGCTGAGTACGAGGCTACCCGTGTACGTACCCGGCTGCTGCATGTGAGGCAATGGGCGCCGCCTCTTTCCGTCAAGCAATACGCATGGCCCCTACGGTTCGCCGCACATGCAGTGCTGTGTGACAGCTTCCAGCAGTTCAGAGCGGCGACGGTGTTTTTCGCCGGTAGAGCCCCAGAACAACGCGAACCCCCCGACTGTTTCATTGTTTTTGGGTCCCCCACTCGCCCACCCATCCATGAATGAATTTCAGCAGTTTTCGTTGGGGGGATGTTTTCTTGTCATGTCCATGACGTGGTGCCCCGAGCGAGTATGGCTCGGTAGGGACTCGCAAACCATGACCCCTCCCCGAGTTTGAGCATCAGCTTCGGCCTCCTGTGACGGACAAGAAGACCGGAAATTGTCTCGCCATACAAACAACAGCAGTTGGTCAGTTGAAAAAAAGAGGGTCCGGTCCGCCAAAGATTTTGTTTTTATGTTTCCCTGCCGACAAATAAAAATATAACCTTGGCTTACGGCAGTGCAAATCTCATGGCGCCTCAAGTAAGTACGGTTCCGTAGGGAATTGCAAATCACGACCCCTCCCCGACTTTGAGTATAGCTTCCACCTCCTGCGGCGGATAAGACCGACGTCAAACCCTAGGTTTTGTCTGTCTGTGTCGCCATGTCGTCGCCATCCACGAACAGCAATTGGAGAGTCACAATAAAGAGGGTCCGCTTCGCCACCAAGAAAAAAACAGTTTTCTTTCTCGATTCCATGTATCGGGTATATAGCGGGTAACCACGGGTCGGACGCACACCACTGGCCCTCGTTTGTCGCCAATAATGAGGAAGTAGCGGGAGGGAGAAAAATATGTCTATTCTTGAGATGAGTTCCGTATGTGTCGCATCTCGTGAGGGAGGTATTCATCCAGCTCTTTCTTCTTCTCGATCATTTATTTGCACAGACCGCCTGCCGTTTCCCCCAAGGGAGACTTCCACCGCCAGCGGGGGGTCTGCCTCCGCCCGCCGGGCCGTCAGAAGGTCCGAATTCGAGGGCAGGGCGTTGCTGAGGTGTAGTTGTGTGCATGGGTTTTGGTCGAACCGCCCAGCCATTTTCGGGTTGGGGAAAGAAAAACCGGGTACTACTCCTCCGGGGGGTGAGTAGCCAAGATCGGGTGCACCCGGTGGAAAGGCGGTCAAGGTCGGGTAGGGGCGGGCGTCGGCCAATCAGATGGTGGCATGCGGCCGCTCCCAGCAGCATCTTGTAGGGGTACCCGATTATGGCCGTGTTTGGACCGGGTGTACCCAATTTTGGCCACTGCTCTTTTTTTCTTCATGGATGGGTAATGAGAGGTTTCAATTCAACTACTACTACTACTACAGTAACTTACTACTGGAGTATGGAGGGTGCTCGTTGTTCTTATGCCTGGCATGTACCGGCAGTGGTAGGTGACATAATATATCGCATCATCAATATTCACAGCTAATAATGTTAGTCCACGACGACGAGGATGTCAAACGATAGGTTTGTTTCGGAAACCTATCGGTGCCAACGCCGCCCGGCCACGATTTCTGCTGTGGAGTAATCGAGCTTTGAAAATAAAAATTTGTTCAGGGGGTGTGATATCTTATGTCATCTACTCTGTGTATTGTATGTATACAGTAGAACGCTTTGTCGTGCTCGGTGGGCGAGCATGTCGCGGTGTGCGCCCTCGACTTTATTAACGGCTAAAAAACTGGAAAGCTTCAGACAGGCAACGCGACGACACTCGTCGAGTTGCTATCACAACGACATTATTCGATGTTTATATTGGGTTCATGCACATGTCGAGATTGTGACAAAAGAGATTTTGATGCCACAATATGGGCGGTTCCACTTGTCAAGTTGCCACTTTATATGGGGCCACACGAATGGATGGGCGTTCTGAGAAGTGCCCGCTCTCTCCGTTCACAGGGCCGGTCGCGGCTGTTCTTTTCGGGAGCGCTCGGGCGACATGGATGTGTATCAGACCCTCCGGCCGAACATGCTGCTAGTTTTCAAGCGTCTACAGGACGACTTATGGTTAGGGTTGGTGTTAGTTAGGGTTAGTTTTTTTGGGTTGGACTTTGTTGGCTCAATGTACTGTGTGTATGTATACATAGCTCGTGTGTGTGCAATATCTTTCCGTTTGCGTCAGTTGCTGACTGCGGGGCCCCGACCCTCCCTGCCGCGTGACCCTCCATTCTTTTCTCAAGTGGAACGCGTGTTGTTGTTTTCGTTCGTTGGCGAATAAAAGGCATGTGTCCTACATCACGCAAAAAAAAAGAAGTGAACTTGGGAATAGGACGGCGACGATATTCGTCGTCTTGCTTTTGAAGCAATTGTACAATAACAATACCAACCACATGCCAAAATTTCAGATTCCAACTCGAACAAAAATCGTGATGTAATTAATGTAATGCGCTTTCAACTATTCATGATCTTCTTGTTGTCTGGCCCACCCAGGTTGATGCCCTGTGGATGAAAATACACAATATAATTTTCTCACCTCCACTGGCTTTAATCCTGGATCCACATCGCCCGGAAACACGGTTCTCTGACCGCTCTCGTGCAAGAAGGATGGGCAGTTCACTCGCAGCCAAGTATAGTCAAAGTACGAGTTGTGCCCGTCATCCCATAGCACTTCTACCTGCCGTTCGTTTGCGAGAACCTGAGTTGAAGAAACCTTGGGGTCGTTGTTCCGCGTGCTGATCGCAGAAGTTGGCTGGCCCGCGGAAGCCGTAGCGGCGGTACCGAAGCGAACCGCGGGTGGGCGCAGCTGCTGCAGGCGCGTAGGAGACGGTTGCTGTGTTCCAGCGGCAGTAGCAGCAGCAGCAGCGGTGGAGGGTGCGATGTTTCTCAAGAACGCCGCACCGGCCCTTGACCGAAATAGGCGCGGCGTACCCCGCAAGACATGAGCCATTTTTGGGTTTGGCAGCAGGCAAACCTGTAGTCAATTTGCACTTCCTGATACGTTGAACGGATTACAGCAGAACCGATTGAAACAGAATCGGAGCACGTAGTGCAGGCTGGCTCTTCGTGCTTCGCCGCTGTGCGTTGTGCAGCGCAGCTATGGAAGATGGCAAAATATAGCAAAGCTTCGCTATATTTTGTCATCTTCCATAGCAGCGCAGCGACGACGGAGAGATCGATTGAAAAAAGTTTTCGAGGCGTGTTTCTGTGTGTAACCGATTTTTCCATTATTTGCGGCGAGATTGGTTTCGAGTTTCGAAGGGCCGAAATAGACCCGAGAGGGCGAGACCTGCAGACAGCACCACCACAGGACACAGCACAGAGTGTTCATGCAATGTGGTGCCTACCCTCTGTCGTTGGCGCGGGCTGCCGACGATAAATCTCTCCTAGCATAGCTCAGCCGAGATACAATGCCAGACCTAGGCTTCAACTGCAGAACGGAGAGAGACAAATGGAGGGCAGGAGGCATCGTTCACAGTAAGAGAGCGTCATTCGACAACTGTAGTGGTATGCGTACTTCGAAGTGTGCCAGCCGAACACTAACCGGTTCAATATGATTAGGTCGATCGCAAACACGCTTGTACTCATGCACTCTATCGAAGCTGGTTTTTGCTCGTGTAGTGTGGCCCACACCATCCGGTTGGCATGCGGCAAAGCTTGCTCTGAACCGCGTCGTCTTCCTGCAAGCATCACCTCCTTTCTTCCATGCATGGGCGGTTGAGCCCCAAGGGCTGAAACAGCTTCTTGCCACCAGCATCACATGCGGCGTTTTGTTGTTGACGCAAAGTCCTTTGAATTTTAATGCCCCCCTCGCTATTAGTAGACTACATACTGTATGTATTGTGCTAACCCCTGCAGCAGAGACCAACAACGCAGAGCCGTCTGTCTCAACAAAAAAGTATCCTGTTGGTACAGAGTAGATCTACACGGTCAAACTGATGTATGTTGTTGTTTTTACCACTGGAGAATACAATACCCTTCCCTTCATCACGTTCCCATTCCATACTGTATAGGTTCGATCCGAGTACGGGCATGTGTTATCGCGTATGTAGAACACATCATTGTGTCCGTTGCACACGGTGAAGCAAGTGAGTATGTCGACCCGGTTCTCCCGGTCCCGACCGGCTTTGGCGTATTGCCGGTGGCAAATACATACCACGGCAGAGGCCGGTGCCCGCAAGAACCTTGGCTCCTACGGGTAACGTGTGGCAGTGTTTGCAAGTTGTTACATACAAGTCCGCATACCCTTTCTGTAGAAAAAACAAGGGCCGTGCTGCCCCTTCCACCGCTCGGTCCACACTCCCTAGCCTTTCCTCTATTGGTCTTGGGTGGAAGGGGGGCATTTCTTGTAGCTCGGACAACAGGGCGGCGTATCCTAATATGTAGACCTTTGTACAAATACCACTACACCGAGAGTTCTTACACACCCCATCCACCTGTCCGATACACATCAGCGCAACAAGCGTTCCTCCGTCCCCGCTCCGGAGATATAGCGTTGACCCCATCTTCGTGTTTGGGGATCCTTCATCTCTCTTCGGGTCGGAACTCAAACGCCATATTTCCACCCGCAAGCCAACATCCTCTATGACTTTTACCCGAGGGTGGGGGGGAAACGCTCCAGAGGTATCTTCTCGCGACCTTCCCTCCCAACATCGAAAGAAGCAATTCCCTCCACCGCACATCACCTCTAACACCAAACCCAACCCTATCGTCATGTCCCGAATCGGTGCGCTTCCCAAAACCACAGCTGCCCCGCTGCAGGTGGACGTTGGACCCGGATCTTACGACGTCGCGGCAGGAGGCCCGCCGACGGAGGGTCGACCCGGCTACGCCCCTTTCCTAAGCACGGCCGAGAGAAAGCTCGGCCCGGACACCGCCGCGGCCGACCTCCCGGGCCCCGGGTACTACTCCTCCGAGCCTGTTCAGCACAACAGCGGCCTGTCCGGGCGACCCAGCGATGTCTTTCGATCGGGCACGAGCCGTTTTCGGCCCTCCAACGGTGGCCAGGGCGCAAACGACACCCCCGGTCCGGGCACGTACCTCGGTCACGAGGAGTTCGGGACCAGGGACCAGGGAATGAGCGGCAACTTTAAGGGGGACAGCGACAAGATCAAGTGGGTGCGGGTGCCGACGGCGCCGTCCATCCCCGGCCGGGAGCAGAGCTACGGGTACGAGGAGGGCGATCAGGGGGAGCTCGTCATGCAGCGGCCCGTGGAGCTCGGGCACAGCGGGCGCGGGGACGATCGACCGGGGCCGGTAGACTACCAGCCCAGGGTCGAGTACACCCGCCGCTGCCCGGCGGCCATAGACTTCTCGAAGGGCGAGGACCGACTGGTGGCCCTCAGCAAGGCGAGGGCGTCCACCACCCCGGGGCCCGGCCACTACAACGCCGCCAGGGGGCTCGGAGACCCCGACGACGGCCTCGACATCGGCAGGGCCATCCACCGCAAGCGGCAGCGGCCCACGGCCTCCTTCCACTACGGGACAAAGCGAGATAGACAGCGCAAGACGCGGGACACCGCCGCCCCGGGACCGGGGGACTACAAGATCCCGAGCGGGCTGGACGTCCGGCGAGACCCCGGCCGCCGAGACCTGTCCTTCTTGTCGACCTCTCGCCGGTTCGACGAGCCGGCCACCGGCGCCGGGAGCCGGGCCCCCGGGCCGGGGTCCTATGTGACCGCGCCCAGCGACTTCGACCGCTGCCGGGCGAAGGACAATCGGGTTCGTCCGCGGCGCGCCTCATTCACGGCGCCGGTGGGATTCCAGTCCACCACCCTTCGTTTCGCTGGCGACGGGAGGAGGGGTGGCAGCGAGATCGGGCCGGCGAGCTACAGCCTCGGTGGGATGGCTGAAGAGATAAGCCGCAAGGGCTCAGGAACCGGAAGAAACGTGGGCGCCTTTGGGTCGACGGCGAGGAGATTTCCGGTCGCGGGGGGCGGTCAGCCCCACTTGCCCAGGCCAGGGGCGTACGAACTCGGCGTTGCTGGGGGAGTTGATAGAGAGGAGGGGCAAAATACGCGGCCCTCGGTTCCGGTCGGTCCGAGCGGAAAACGGTTCCCGAGTGCCTTGTCAGCGTTTGCATCAGGTGGGCATAACGTTTGCATCGGCTTCGTCTTGCTCCTGATGTTGATCGGGTCGTGAGTGGGCGCAAGCTAATAGGCGTTCTCTGCTGGCCACTTGAGTGCACATTTGGCGAGCGGGAAGCATCTATACAGACGTGCTGCTATCTCAACTTGGGAATCGAATGAACTCGAGTGTGACCGGGAGATCGAACGGGCGAAATATGCAAACGTCGTCGTTCTCTAGACCTGTAGATTCTCGCTCGCAGTCGAGCTCGTCATCAAGTTCTGATCAGCAAGCACTAATATTACGACCACCTCGAGCCTGATATCATGCTGATCGACGGACAAATTTGCCGCAAAATGCTTGCAATATTTTCGGGCGAGTTCTTTCCTCACACGAAGTACTTCACCTCCACCGATCAACGCATGCATGTCGACGAACCAACCGAACGCGTTAGCTACCAAGAGGTTCGCCCCACCGTTTTCTGCAAACCCTGGTCCGGCACCGGGCCAGTACGAAGTCAGACCACTCGACAAGCCTAGAGGGGTTTTGCCTCTCGGAAAGCAGTCGAAGAACCGCTTCGAGGTATGTAAAGTAGTTGCACATGCCCTGCTATCGGCATGCTGCCAAATCGGTTGTGACAATTTTCCGTTTGGAGGTGCCCCGCCCTCACTAGACATGTACGGTACTCACGAGAATTTCCTGCAGTCCTCGAAAGAGTTGTAGCTGTGTACTAAGTGACGTAGCAGCATCCTCCGACGCTACACACAAAAGGACGTTAAGTACGTTTTGTGCCTTGGGGAAGCAGATATTTACTGGCGGAAAGTCCCGCACGACTGCGACCACGCGCCGTCCAACTACCTCCGGCCTAACTTCAGAGCACAATCTACGCGCTAGCCAACGTACTCTCCCGCCGTTCGATGACATCACGGCAACGACCGTCCGTCGTACAGAGTGCAAAGAACGCTGTGCGGCCGGGGCTTGGACCGGGGAGCTACGACGTGAGGGACGTGGTGCAGCTCGGAAGGGCTCGCTCGCGGAAGAACATTATGGTCAGCTCGCAGGCTCGATTCACGGACCCGAGCGCGCCGAGTTCGAACAACCCCGGTCCAGGGTACTACGGCACGGGGATGGTGTACGGGAATCTGCTGAAGCAGGTGGGTGCCTACATGGTCAGCGTATCGTTGAAGGATACAAAAGTTAGTAGCCTATTGAAACTGCTGCACAGGACTGACACCGCTCTCCTAGTGTCATTTCGTGCAGAACCACAACCTTGAGATCTATTGTGCAGGTCTCGGTGTTGTTTGTTGCCAAGTGTGCTCTTGGCGTTCACACGAAGGGTTCTCGGCAAAATGTTGGTGAATCACACGTACGTACGTGGTTGCATCATCCTCTCTGGCGGTGAGCTCATAGTTGTTGTTGTTGTCTTTACATTATAAACCGTTCCGATCTCTCGACCCAGTACCTTGTTCTGTCCGTACTACTCTAACACTTGGCGCGGTCGATCCCGTGGTCACAGGCTAACTTACCCAAAAAGGTATACCCCAATAAAATGGACCCGAAGGGTCCGCAAGTCAATAGAAGTCAACGACAAACAGTCAAACACTCTCCGCTCGTCTCTACACGCTATGTGAGGAAACCATAGACTGGAAAAAAAGAAAAATGAAAAGACAAAGCACGGAGCAAAAATTTCTTCGATGATCCCTAAACACGACGACGAGGACGATGCTGGTAACGGCCGGCTGATGACAACTGTTGATCCCCCCCCTGCGTATCGTTTCGCGCAGACGTACAACATCGCCATCGCAGAGGCGAGTGCCGACATTTGCTGAGAGCTAGGTTTTGCGGAGGGGGGTTTGAGACCATGCTTTTTCGACTGGAAAAAGAAGCTGGCCTTGCAAACGGCCCCCGAAGTCAGGAACAGGAACGTCAATTCAAGAGAGTTGGAAACGAAAGGCGCCACTCGTGTGTGATATATCCTGAAATGGTGCTGTTGGGGGCGAGTACTGTGCGTTTCCGCACAGCGATAGTCGTCTATATAGAGGTTATTCCTCGCTCGTTTAACGTATTGCTCCATTCCTCCTTTCGGCGCTGCCGTCCATGAATGGCACAAGCTTTGGAGCGGTTGTTACCCTTCACCAGAGTATATACGCTCCGGATGATGCTCCGTTCCTCCTTTCGGGACTGCCGTCAATGAATAGCACAAGCTTTTGTAGCGGATGTTACCTTGACCAGAATACATACCCTCAGGATGAACCGATGAAGAACGCCGAAGCCTTTGAGACAACAACACGCTGCGGCAAAACTCTGCAACGCGCACACGTGCACCTAGAGGCGACTCTCTTCCGTGAACATATAGAAGTACAATCTCGAATATACAAAAAGTTGGCTCCGCAACTCCGAGCAGCACAACCCCCGGGTTACAGCAAGGAGCAAGCGCATGCGCACGCACTACCCTCAAACGGTCAGCAAACCGCACCGTATGCGGACGGCAATGCGCACGGCCGGCCATGCGAATGGCAGACGCGCAATCCGCTTGTTTCTAGCCCACCCAAGCGGCCTAAACTGTCGCGAACCGAAGCAAACGTGAACAACGCACACATCGACAGAGTGAACAACAGACCCGCAAGTCTCAAGGTAGGAAGGCACCCCGCCGCCCCCGCTCGCTCATCTACCAGGGACATTTCTCGACAGGGAGAAATGGCTCGTTGCCCCCCTCCCTCCCTTGCTCCGCCAACTCTCGCTCCTCGAGGTCTTCCCCTCTCGGAGGAGAGTCCGCCGCTCCTTTTGCGCAATTCTCACTCTCCTGTAGTGGTAACGCCGCCGGCTTTGCACCACCACCACCACCACCACCACCACCACATTGATGATGCTCTTGTTGCTGGGTTGCGTCTTCTGTAACGGTAGCGGTAGCACCGCGTTCCCCGAAAGAACCTTGCGACGACGCCCGGAAAAACGCCTCCGTTGCCTCGGGCTCGTCGCCTGCTGCCTTCTTGGCGGTGTTGTCCAGTCGGTCGGTACAACCGACATCTGGTTGTCGCTGTCGTTGTCGCTGTCGCTGCCGCGGCTGCTGCTTCTTTTCAAGGAGCTTGAAGAGGTCCGGGTGGGCTTCGGCGGTAGGGCCTCCTTCAGCGACAACCTCTCTGGCACGCGGGGGGCGTCGGCAACAAAATGAGGCAGACGTAATCAAATAAGGGCGCAACATCGCGGGGTTGCTGGGGTATAGTGCGGCGGAAATCATGGCCGTGAAAGGCCAACTCTGGGCCATGCAACCCCACACCCTTGCTGCAGCAAGCCAGAAGAGGGGTGGTTAGAGGGAACGGCCCAGATACGGAGGCGGAACATCATATCTCCCCGAATAAAAAAAAACACAGCCGTCGGAAAACGTAAGAAAAAAATCTGCTGACCTGATCTCCCGGTGGCTCAAGCACTCGAACCGAGAATGGTACTCCTGCTGAGCGAGTCGAAACAGGCTCCTTGCCAACTCCGCCTGAAGGTGTGACAAGCCGTGAAAATGGCGACGGAGGAAAAAAAATGCGTCCTCCACCTTCAGACTATGGCCGACCACTTGTTCAATGGGAATTTATTTCCAGACAAGCAAGACTCATGGGTAGACAGTCACTTACTAGGAAAAGGCCCATAGTATGCATATGAGCGGCAACCAGAAACGCCCAAAGCAGCGACATAACGATAAAACCGGGATGTGATCAATCTACGTTTCAACCGGATTGTCCGAGAGGGCTCCGGTGTAGTCCACAAATTCTGCACCCAACCAACCACCTCCTGCGGTCGTTGACTATTCCCTGTAACTGAGGTAGACAAAGGAGTCTGCGGCGACCGGCTTGAAAAAAATGGATTTTTAACATACGGGGCCCCTAACGCATGCCAACTGGTCGAGCCCTAAACAAAGCGTGATATGGCTATGAATACTGCTGAAGGTCCAAACTCACTCCGCTCAAGAGCGGGGGATGCACCGATCTGATACCTCCAGTGTGACCGCCAGCACCAAAGCGTGGCAGCAACGCCCGTCAAGCAGCCGGTCAGCAGAAAGAAGCGAGAACATTGTCGCTGCCGTCAATGTAGACTACGACCACCACCACGATCTCCACGGCAGCACTCCCAACCGTCCCAACAATTCTCATAATCACCTTTTCCGGAGAAAGCTCGAGCTCGACGGCCCCTGCATTTCCCCCGAGCCGGCAAGCGAGGGCCAAGAATCTCCCCTCCCCGACCCCGTGGCTGGAGTTCGCGACCCCGCCGGCCTTCTCTGCCTGGCTGTGCAGACCCGCGCGGTCCCGCTTCGAGAGCTCCGCGCCGAACACAAGCACGGCCACCAGGACCGTCGACGCTCCTCCGCCTCCTCCTGCTGTTCGGCGGAGATGTTCGTCGTCCTCCGGCTGCTGCTCTTCTGGTGCTCTTCTCTCGCGCTCGTGATTGCTTTCGAGCTCCCTCGGTCCTCCTCCTCCTCCTCCTCCTCCTCCTTCCCCTCCTGTTGGCCTGTGCGCCGCTGCAGGCGCGGGAGGCGGCTCTACCTCCGCGCGCGCAGAGGGTCCCCGCGAATCTTCTGCAGGCTGCGGGGCGCCTTCCCTCCCCTCCCCCGGGACTGCCTGGTCCCCGACCCTCCCTTTCAAGAAGTCGACAATCGCGGCCTGGCCTTCGTCGTACGAGACGTCGCTCGGTCGCAGTCGGAGCTCGAGTCCGACCCAAGCACCGTCTTCTCCAGTAGGCTTTCCTTTTTCCTTCTTCGTGGTGGTTGCCGGGTCCTCGCTCTCGGAGCTCTCTCTCGCGAGCCGGCTGCTCCGCTGGGACAGCCGTAGCCTGGTCCACCAATCATCGTCGCTCATCCCGATGTCGCGACTCCCCGCTTCTTGCCGCCGGTCGTCGTTGCCGCTCTCGGTGCTACCACCTGTCCTGTCGGCACCGCTTCTAGACTTGTCGCGACCGCTCGCTACGTCACCACCACCACCAGCAGCAGCAGGGTCCGCCGCAGCCTCTGCATCGCCAAGTCCACCGGGTTGTCGTGGAGAGAGCTGACGGAAGCTCTCGCACCCGAGGGGTTCTCGGGCCGCTAGCGCGGCGGAGCGGAGCGGCAAGCTGAGCGCCGCGACACGGCGGCGATCCGTCTCGAAAGCGCCGCTTCCACTTGTCTCCTCTTGTCCTTGCCCCCCTCCAGCCCGCCTCACCTCAGGGGACCCGGACGCTGCCGTTAGCAGGAAGAGGGCCGCGCCCAGGAATCGCGGTGTGCCGCGCCTGCCCTCGTCTGCGTTGATTTCGCCCAGTGATCGGGTGTGACCTGCTGCTGGGCCGCCGCCATCACCACCACCCGTGGGGGTTCGGAACGCTGGCGGAACGTAGCGGGTAGCCCCTCCGGATCTCGAGTTGAACCCTGGGAGAAAACAGAGCGCACAATAACGTTGTACCGGGGCTTCAGGGTGTGTTTTGTGTGTGCTCCTCTGTTGTCAATTGGCCCATGAACGAAAGCCGTGTTGTAACTTTGGGCGCTGCATCTCGAGAAGGCCAGGTGCATGTTTATCCATACAGCCCATTACGCAAGCAACCCGAGCGGCTCAGCTTGGTGTACATAAAGGACGGGATTATTGGTCGAAAGAGTTGCGGGCTGTGGTGACGGCTCAACAGTAGGATTCGAGTACTGTATGCATAGTTTCGAATCAATCCGTGGTTCTTGATGTTGAAGGCGGTCTGGAACTTTAGGGAACAGGGGATAAAAGAGACACGAGTTCACGAGAGTCCGAAAGTTTTGGAGAACGTCTGGAGAGAGTCTAGCCAAGAGGCAGCGAGAAGACAGAGAGAGATAAATAGGCTTGTAGTACACAGCACATGGCAGAAGCGCAGAGCAGGAGCACCGTTTCGGACTGGATCGATATTGCTGTTTCCGCCTACAGGGCGCCTGAAGCAGGAGGTCTCCCTCCACGGTGTCATCGCAACGCTGTTGCTCTCCTTGCCCTCTAAACCATGGCGATTTGCACAAAACAGTAGTCGTGGCATCCTACTGCCGTGCAAGCTGTTCTCAGCACACGTTCACCTCGAGTCTACAATGAAACCTCCTCTGCTTCACGCTTCCCGAACCTGTCCGAATTTTGCGTGCCTTTCTCCATGTACCGTCTGGTCTCTGAGTAGCCGGGATCATGGCAGCCAACTCGCGCCTCTCCCTCAGTCGGCGACGTAGCGCGGTCGAGACGAAGCTGCACAGCTGCACCTGCTGCACATCTCCGCATTCCCTTTGGGAAAATTTAAGCGCCGTGATTGGCTGACGTTTTACAGTCCAGTCATCGCCTTCGCGCCCATCCAGTGAATGGGTAGTCTCTCTGTGTGTGTATTTATTTTTTCTTAATCCAGTCGCCCTGCCCTCCGCCGTCCGCCCTTTGCCCCGACCACCGCCGACGCGTTGAATTTCGCACGGTGGATGGAGGAAGCACTCTCAGCAAATCCTCTGATGTTCTTGGCGCGGAATCCTATACCTTTTGAATTGCTGTGCGAAGAGTGTGCGTGCGGTTTTGGGTTTTGGAAGGGACAGACAGGTATGCGTGTGGACTGCTGGATCTTTGCGTACGTCTGGGTGGGGTAGGCGGCGGTAGCCTAGAACCGTGCGACCACGGTATGCCCGCGCTGGTGTCTTTTGTCTCTCGAGGATCCGCTCAGAGTGCTTCCATGCAAGGACCGCTTGAGCCGAGACCACTCCCTCGTCTGCACCAAGAGCGGCGCCTCAACCTTCCTCCACAATTCGATGGTTCGGGTAATCCTCAAGACACACTGCGCGAGTGTCATGTGCCATCGCCGTTGAGAATTCTTCCCCTTTTACCACAGGCACTGGTAAGGGAAAGGGGCTGCAATACAAGATGGATTTGGTAATCTCCCCAGGATTACACGCAGGAGAGAAGGGAAAGGAACTCTGCACCAAGTCCATTCTTATAGACGTAGCAATCGTCAACCCATCCACAGGTCGAGCATCGTCAAGTCGATCCAAAAGCCAGGATCCGCCCTCGAAGATCGAGCCGTAAGTAAGTCTTATCACTATTGCGGGAATTTTCAACCCGCCTAGATCTACCCTCCTTACTGCTTGCTGCTTTTTCAACGTATGGTGGTCTTGGTGAAGGCACCAATCGACTGATCGTGGCTATCGCCAACCACTTGGCACACGAAGCTTTTTGCCGGGGGAATTTCGGCAACGAAAGAGCCTTAATTCGCCTGAAAGCTTTTCACACTAACAGGATTCATAGATGGTTTCCCTTCGAGCTACAGCTCGTTTACTGTCGATGCGAACTCACGATGTGTTCAAACGTCATGGGCTACTGAACGACCAACTTCCACCAGGGCCAATCGGTTGGGATCTCTGCGACAACGATAATAATGAGTGTAGACGAAGGAAAGGGAAAGGGAAGAGAGGAAGACGAAGACGACGATGGAGGAGGAGGACAGCATGGAGGAGTGGAAGAGAGCAAAGGGTTTGAGCCAGATGGCCTTCCCAAAAACAAAAAACGCAGGGCTAGGGAAGAACTGGCAAGAGATTGTTGTCAAAATGAGGATCAGAATGATGGTAGCGTCAACAAAGGGGATGATGGTGAAATAACTCCTAAACGAACTCGAGTACAAGGTAATAGCCTTGGTAGACGCGTGCAGTTTTCTTCTGTTGCCACTGTTTCTGTCTTTGATCCGAAGGATTGTTTAGCCTCCCCCATGCTGCCCCCTCACGGGGTCCCAGTTCATGGCAGATAGAAGTGTTTTGTGTTTTCAACCGCAGTAAGGCTGACGTCTTTTCATTGGTCAGCCGGTTAGCGCGGTCAATACCAACAAAGACACACACACACGAAGCAGATATAAGTGTCTTGCCTTTTCAACCGCACTGTAAGACTGACGTAGTTTCATTGGTCAGCCGGTTAGCGCGGTCGATGCTAATAGTAAAGACACACACGAAGCAGGTAGTTGCTCGGTTTACAACCCCGGGAAAGCGGAGGAAGCACTCAGTAAGCTAAACACCCAACACCATCTCGTGGCGGGTGTCATCGTCATTGCTGTTGTTGCTTTGGCGTTTGGGGAGAGGGATAATCGGTAATCGAAACCTTAGCACCTGGCCAAGGGTACGCGTGAAAATCATTTCAAGACACATAATAGGCCTATCAATCGAAGATCGGGGTCATTTGTGGGGGGGGACAACTTTGGTTGGGACGGCGGGGGCATATAGCCATGTATCATCTGAGCAGCACGCAGCCCACGCAAGGAAAAACAACTCCGAAATCCATCTTGGGTGCAGCAGCCTCCCGCTATCTTTCTTACTTGGAACAGACCAACGAGTGCAACCACGTCTACTCTTCCTCTAGTCAGGTTTCAGGCACTTCACGCTGACTCCATGCACTCGCAGATGATTGACCAACAGATACTTCATCTTCCGCTCCTCACAAAGCTCAGATTTCAACGCCTCTCTCTGCCTCTCTGCAATCTTCTGCATCCACGCCGGGGCGTCGGCGGTTCGGGGTCATCTGTTTGGGGTTAGGGCATATACCCATCCATGTATCCCCGGGTTTTCTGCCGTTGCCTCGGTGCCTTGGCGTCCCGATCTCGCATGGTGTGCATCACCACTAGCGCTGCTGGCGCTGTGATTTAGTGGAGAGCCCCGAGAGATGGCAGACACCCCGGTCATCTTCGCAATCTTAGGGTTAGAAACCCCAGGGAGCCGCAATAATAGGCCGCCAGTCGCCCGTGTGGCCTATTGGTCCAGCCAAACGTAACCCTACAAAACATGAAGAAGACCAAGGCTACGGGTAGATTATTTGCGACACTATGTTCCCTGTTGTGCAGTGCAATGTAGAAGAGGCGGCAACGGCAAGTTTGCAAGGCAAGTGTGGTTCAATGTGAAAGCTGGTCAATGACCTGTTCCAACCGAATTTGACGGATACTACTACCAAAGTATATTTATACTACCCTCCTACTTTTTTTATGTTGGCTCGTGGGGTTTTGGAACTGAAGTTCTACGGAAAGGTAGATGTACCGACGCCCGGTTGTTTGTTGTGAAGACAAAACACTTCGTACCCCCGGGCCCCTTCGAAACCATCGAGCAGTCTCCGGCGGCCGAAACGATCCTACAACCGAGGCTGGTGTGGAGCTTTACATAACACTCTTGCCATTTCGAGACATACATACTGAGACGCAACGGAGGCCGGCCACAAACCGCGGCTTAGTATATGGGCTATAAGATGTACCAGCTGTCGCTACAACGAGCGACAGCTGATAGATGTAACTGTCCTCAGACGTGTGCGTCCACGGGCGGAAACAGAGAGTGCAAACACCACACACCTGATACTACACCTGCTGTGCGCTGGCGTGAGAGCTGTGGTAACGTAAACTTTCACCTCTGCCGGCTACCCCCCCCGTGTCCACATCCCGCTTTTGTGAACATAGTCTACATACCCCCCGCACACCATGTTCCGTCTTGTTTTGATCGTTGGTTCTCCAACTCCCAGCGAAACAGCAGGACACAAGTCGGCTCTGGTCACCTAGCGCACCAATCGTCATGGCACCACTTCGAGCGTGTGCTCCATTGCGATATCTCTGGGCGTGACAGCTGTGTTAGGCATGGGTGGCGAGTGTGGGAAGACCTTCGCGGCGGCGTGGAATCCAAATCGTATTTTTGGCCCGGGCAATCGGGCCGCATCGCCAGGCGAAATAGCCAAACCGGATTTCACATCGCCACGATGCTCTCGGCGCATACAGAACCAATGCCCAACACAACCATCACGCCCCTCGACACCACCATGGAGCACACGCTCGAAGTGCGATGGCGATCGGCGTGCTAGGTTTCGAGAACAAATGTGGTACTGTGCTCATATTTCTGGCAGTTGAATGCGGCGGTAAACAAAAATGCGCGACAGCAATACATGGCCTCATCACACCACAGAGAGTCCACCGGCATCGACCCCAGATGTTGTCGCCCGCTGCGCGTGTGTGTCGCCTGTGATGCGTACGCTGTCTGCTGTGCGTGTGTTGTCTGCTGTGTGGTGTCGCCCGCAGTGCGTGTGTTCTCTGCTGCAATCCGCTGTGTACCCCGAAAAAGAAAACAAGTGCATCTGCTGACCCCTGTAGTCTAAGATCAGGTCGTGTACTCAAAAACCTAGGTTTAGCGAACAGACGTGACAAACTCTTTGGTCCTATATTGCGGCGAGACTTCAAGCCAGACAAGAAATCTCGCTTCGCTCGAATACAACAAGCCCATACTACGTGAACCCATGCGTTGGTGATGACCTTCACGGGGACCTTGCCTACGTGAGATTGGAGCGAGATTCCCCTGAAGTTGTTGCAGTCTCAACCACCCTGCTTGTACAACAACACCTTGATGGTTGCGTCCTTCGACTCTTGGGGGGTCTCTCCTCCGTTCGACACCTCACCGAGGATGGCATGGAGGTGCTCCACGAGGATGGGTTCCTCGTCGTCGTCGATCTTGAGCTACTCCGCAGGGAGGGAGTCATTGCCATGTGCTTTCCAGTTTTGCAGTCCTTTCGTTACCCGCGTTCCACCTCCTTGACGTCTGGCACCGATCCCAAAACAAACGTGGAGTGGCACCTGTCGCCGGTCGCTGCGTCACTTGCTCGATGCTGTCTGGGGTCAGGGTGGGGGACTTGGTGTTGAGGAGGGGGCCGACAAACCTCGCCCATCGATCGAGGATGTCGTCCTTCCTCCCGAGCAGCACACCATTCTCGTCCGCAACGGGCTGCTTTCCTCCCGCTTGTTGCCTCCCACTGAGACCCACTGATCTCTTCATTCAGGTGTTTTGGTCGAGGCCTGACAGATCGCGGTGATTGATTTTCGCTCGCTTCGAGTATTTTTGGTCACATATCTGTCCAGGTGGGCATATGTGCCCGATTTGCCTGCTGCTGCAGCCACTCCCTTACACGCTTGTTTGTGGGCCCTTCACGACGTTGTCTTCAAAATTGTCCTTTATCACTCGACGCGCTTCCCGCCGAATATGAGGGTTCGAGAAATAAAGACACGCTCGCGCGCGGTTTCATACACGATTACAATGACCCAACATTTCAGGTCCGTGCGATATTCGTAGACCCTACTTTTCGTCCTTATGGCAACTAACTGTAGTGCTTGATGTTTTAGACACTCACGCCCGGTTGGCCGTTGGGGGAAAGAGCAGGGGGTGCCACGCGCACGACAGCTAACAACGTGGGGGCTCCGAACCAATCATCCTCTGGTCGTACCGCCCAACGCACATCTATGTATGTGCAGGGCACCTGAAACAGTCACCATGTCGTTCTACCACCAGATCCGACTTCACACGAACATGCGACACATATTTCTTCCTTCCCCAGTAAAAAAACAGGGCCAAGGGGTGGATCCCCCCGCTTATGGTAAGGTGGGAAAACTTGCCATGGAAGCTGAGACACGCGGACTACAGTCTACTCCTCCTCCCGTCATGCTACCTACTGTACCATGGTTGACTTGCACCTGGAGCGGAGAGTAGGCGGGTGATGATGTACTTCCATGGAAGTATCGCCATGACATCTGTGAACGTTTCCATGGAAGTTGCTTCTGATTACTTCCATGGAAGCTTGGGGCGGATGGCGTACTTCCATGGAAGTATCGCCACGATACGTTTGGACAGCTTCCATGGAAGCCGCATATTTTGACTTCCATGGAAGCTGGGGCCGGGTGGTGTACTTCCATGGAAGTAGAGCGATGACGCTTCCATGGAAGCTAGATATTATGCTTCCATGGAACTTGTCCGATTATGGCCCACTTCCATGGAAGCACGTGGAAGTGGGTGTAATCGACTTCCGTGGAAGCGTTCCAAACTACTTCCATGGAAGTTACCAAACTTTTATGGAAGCTCCAACTTCCATGGAAGTTGTTGCTGACCCCCCAGCTATGTGAACTTCCACGGAAGTCGCCCACACTTCCATGGAAGTCAGTTTCGAGCTTCCATGGAAGTTAAAATCAATGAGCTTCCATGGAAGTATGTACTGCTTCTATTGAAGTAAACATCTACTTCCTCCATGGAAGCTACACACATATGGACAGTATGTAGAGGACTGGGCCACACACGGGAAAATAGGGGGAAAACAGAAGCTTGAAAGCCTCATGTGTTGGCCTTCTCGTGTGTGACCTCGGCCGATACGAACGGTTCGGACAGATTTGGCAGACGACAATAATTTGCGGTTATCCCAAGCCTACTGCCGATAAGCCCGTGGCAAAACTCTGTCACAGAAGTCCGCGGGAATATCCGGAACGGTTGGGATTTTGGTGAGGGACAACCGCCTCTTTTGTGCCTTTTCGCACCGCCCCATCTAACGAATATTGTCGAGCGAGGAAAACATAGAGGGTGAGACACAAAGGACAAAAACCTTCGCGTGTGGAGCGCACGCCGCACACAGGCAGTCAATACACAATCTGACATCTTATCGAGCGTCACAAGCCACATGTTTTTGCAGGCATACCTGCTGTGCAGCAGCGCAGGGGTGAGTGAGGCGGCGGCGTGTAGGGAAAAAAAGAAAAAACTCTCACGAAAAAGCACCTCATTTTTCGCGTGGTCGCCTCTCTCGTGCACACTGCCCACAGTTGGCCACGAGCTATAACAAACAAACCCGACGCCCTCTACCGCGTGTGCCTACGAGCTCCGTTGGGCTACAGCAGTGGGAATCTTTCCCCTGTCTCGGTTTGGGAGGATGAAAAACTCGCACACCGGCAGGCAAGCGGAATCGTCCGTTGTTGTTTTTTTCGTTTGATCGGCAAGTAACCCCGCGACCCATCGCCACACATCCACAGCAGCTCACCCCAGCACACTCCAGCGGGTGCTCTGAGGAGGGCTCTGAGTGTTTTCTGGCGGGCTCGTGTCTCTGAGGATGGTGCGTTTCACAACTCTGACTCTGTGTTATGTATATACGCGCCGCAGACTCAAAGTTGGGCACTTCGGTTCGTCAAGGATTTATTTTTTGCCGTGCCGTGGTGGACTTGGCGGGATGGGGGGTGAATACATTCAACATCTGGAAATTGTGTACGTGTTACCGTGTGCAGAAATTCGTCTCGGGCGCGGCGTAACCTCCAAACGAACGTATTTTGAGGATACGGGCATATTGTGAGGATACGGACTTATTATGGTGCTTGTGATACCGTCTAGACTATACGTACGGTTGTTGTGTAGTAACCAACTTAAAGCAAGCAAGCGTGTTTTCGTGGTCGGAACGTCGGTCAGACCGTCGCCAATCCGAGTCCCCGATTGAATCCGTTGACGGGCAGACGGAGTGCGTTGTACGCGCTAGCTTCACTCGGAGAGTGCCGAAACGGGGAATACTGCGGGCCAAATGCAGTGTACTACTGCTGTACTACTGTGGTACTGTGGGCATCGAATTCGACCAAAATGCGGTGGAATAGGTACCGGTTGAGGGCCGCGAAAAAAAAGGGCAGGTTTAATTAAGGAATAAATAATAAAAATGCTGTCTGGGAAATCGTAGACATACAGGTACTTTTCTGACGCTATGAATCCATTGCTAATCTGTCTCAGACTCTTTTCTATGATGGAGATGGCTTCGTGGTGTCATATTAAGAAAAAAAAAAAAAAACACACACACAGAAAGACTACCCATTCGAGATATACCCGCAGTCGACCGGTTTGTTGAAGCGCAGACAGCACAAACCGTTGTTTATTGAAACCCTTCGGATTGTCCAACCGTTATTACGTGAAAAGAGTATCACGTCGTACGAGGCCCAAAGCACGAGAGAGTGTTTCGATCACTCTGTCGAAGCAAAGGGTCCAAAATTAACCGATTTCCTCGCTTTGCACCTCACGATCGCACTTCTTCGTCAAGGAAAGGAAGGAGAGGCTAACGTCCCTGCACTCTAGACTCCCATACGAAGGACATTTGGACCTTGGTCCTTGTGCTCAGTTGAAAAGCCTGGCTCCGAGATGTCGCTGATGTACATGTAGCCGGCTCCTGAAATCCGCGCTTCACGGATCAGTGTCGCCCGCCTCTTGTTTTGGAAACGATGCGAGAAGTGAATGAATGACGTGTCCACTTCAAGGTGTGCCTTGTGGAACCTCTGTGCACAGGAGACTTAGACATGCTGTTCGCAGCCGCGTCGCAATGTTCCCGCCCCTCGTCGCCTGATGCTATGATATCTATGGCCAAGAGACCTTCGGCGATGCGCTGATACCTCTCCGTAGCCTGGAACTTCGCTAGAAGGTTGTCCGCCAGCATCTGGCTCGTCTGTGTCTCGGCTAGTGTGAAGATGTCAGCCCTGCCATCCTGAGAGGAGAGTGAGTCGGAACGGACAATTTCGTGCACAGCAACAAAACACAAACCACGGTGAGTGAGGAATCAGCCAGTATTTTTTCAGCCTAGGAGAAACCTATGGACTTGGCCAAAAGGACGCTGGTATTGCGAGAGCCGATGACTGGCCACTGTACTGTACCTTCAAGAGGATGAAGTTCTGCACACGTGGAAATATTGCTATACTTTGTACATGGAAACAAAATGACAATGCGTCTGAAGAATCCCGTATATGGAAATCGAGGAAACGGTAGTTCGAGAACACATTGTTTACCGTGTCTAGTTCCTTGAATCTGGCCTCGTCGACGTCGCGCATGACTCCGGTCCTTGCACGACAGTCAATATTGACTTCATACGAAGAGCCGGACTTGATGAACTTGTTCACGATTGCGACAAACTCCTTGAACAGGGCGTCGTCATCGGCTTCAACCGCGTAGATTGAGTCACGGAAAGCCGCCACCTCCCTCAGAAGCAAGATCGACTGCGATTGTTTTTGGTGTTGATGCGCGTGCGGGCGTGCAGGCAGGGAGGGCAGGGAAGCAGTCTGTCAGACAATGGGTCGATATAGATAGGCTGTCATGAAGACGCTGACGTACTACATGTAAGCTACTTCCCTTAATCCTACTCTATTGCTAGACAACTCTCACCTCTCCGCAGAGTGCCTTTTGGCAAAAGCTATCGAAAGCTTCCAGGAGGGGAGGAGTGTTTATGATTGTTTCAAGGCGGCCCAGCTGAATCGTGCTCAGCGGCCTTGAAGTACAGGTGACATGCATGGTCTCATTCATCCCAACAGCGACCTTGCCGCTCGCGCTCCTTCTCCATGGGACGTAGGGAAACCAGGGAACGTGATAGTCCTTTCGGTCGGACGATTGCCGCAGAACTTCCCTCACCGGTTTGATGTTCCTGAGATTCGATAGACACACGAAACAAGAAAAAGCAAGATAAATCCAGTCGCAAATTATGTAGAGAGTAACGTTTGACCGCAAGTTTCGAAAAATGACCCGCAAGTGCAAATCATAAAATCATGACTTATCGATTCGGTGCGTCTATTCCGGCGGGAATCAGTTGGGCAGAACATACGGCCTAACTAGCCACGCTGTTGGCTGGGGCTCATTGTGAAGACATGAATCCAGACCGCAGACTTCATGGGCGCAACGACAGCGGCCCCTCGTCACTCACGTGATCCACAAGGCGGTGTGGAAGCGGACGACCATGAATACGACCATGTGCATACGCATGAGGGTCGGAGTATAGAACTCTCCAGCAGCTTTCATTCCCATGACCATCGCTGCATCAAGACATTCACAACACCATACCGAACGGAAGTTAAGGATGGACAGATGCAAGCAGGTGAATAGCGTTGCTCGGGGTAAGGCTCCGGGAGCTTCACGCAAAACGCTGCACCAGCGACAATTGAAACTGGGGTGCCCATTCGTTCTTGTCGTGCCCGCCCGTGGAACGCACACCAGCATGTTCCACACAAATGAGATGCCCTGGCTTTTGACACAGTTGTGTTGTATCCAGCACTTGCTACCGAGAGTGGGAAGCAACAAAAGAGAGAAGGTATTTTTCTCAGGCGAAATTAATATTTTTTGTGTTGGACGTCTTTTTCTAGATGGCACAAACAAACCACGGCAGTCACACCGTGAAAGAAAATCCGTGGGCATCCTTCTTGGGCATTTTAGCAATGGATGTAGAGATGAGAGCTGCAGCATTTTTGTCTGATGTTTGTTGCAAGGATTGTCTCCCCACCGAGCCGTGCTGGTTTGTTGTGGTAGCTGTTGCGGCGTCTTCAGCTCAGTCCCTTACATGAATGAAAACAGCATCGGAGCCGAGAAAAGGCCGTGGTGAGGCAGCCTCCTTCAGCTTGGAACCACACGAAGCATTTCCACACACAAGCCCTTATTTCGCGCGGTCGTACAATACCCACGCACAACGCTAAGCTCACCCACGGCTACGATAGAGAACCGTCCGACGGCCACAATCTCCTTGGACGTGTTGAACAAGTCGTTGGTTTTCTTTAGTGTGCGGTAAAGATAGGCGCTAGCGCCGACAGTCAGCAGCATGTCCAGATTCATCACAATTGGCATCTTTCCGGCCACCCTGAAAGTTTTCAAAAGGGCGAAACAAGCAGGGGACCGGCCATAGTTTCAATTGACGCGTATTCGGTACTTTTGTGTACCAGGTAGCTGCAACACGTGGCACATCGAAGTTTTCGAGCGCGCTTTGTTGGTGAGTGAGGCAGTACTACAATGGCCCCTGGGTCTATCATTCTACCAAAAGTGAACAAAACAAGTGGTGATCGAGGGAGGGAGAAGGCTTGCAGAACTCCTAACTGGCAGATTCGGAACTCACATGGGAACCCCGTACGTAGGTACAAAGGACCACACGACCACCTGTAGCACAAGAAAGATTGCCAGGACGATCGGGATAAAGTTGCGTTCCCGGAGGAACGAACCCCACCGCTGCCGGCTCCGCGGTGTGAACATGATCAACAACCGCACGCCGCGGAGAATGTAGGTGGCCGTGAAAGAAAGCATCAGTGGAACGCACAGGATTTTTTCCGGCCCCGCACTCATGTCATAGGTCAGCGTCATCCCAATGATTTCGGGACCAGAGATGAGAATCCCGATAGCGCCGGACATAACCGCCAGCATAGGAGACCTGCAGAGTGAGTATGGAGGAGGGCGGGGGGGGGCGGGAGTCGTGAATCGAGGACGAGGTGTACTCGTTCATCATACATGCGGTGTTCGTGAGGCCATAGACCCCGCATTCGTACAAAGCCGAGGCGGAGCTCGCCTTTCGGGCCCTCCCCGGATCAAGCTCAAAATGTACCAAGCGATGATCGGTGAGTCGCATAAAGCATCAACAAAAGTTGTCTTGCATATCGGTGACAGCCTCTAACGGTTTGCCCATTTTCTGGTGCCCCCACTTAGTTCCAAGAGACCGCCTTGCGCTATACCGCCTCGTGGGTACCTCACCATTTAACACCATGTGGAATGATCATTCCTCCTTTGCGGGGATAAGGTTTCTCAACCCGCACAAGACGGTCTGCTCTTTAGCTCTCTCGGTCTTCCTTCAGAATAATTTCGTGCATTTTCCAAAGTAAAAAGTATCCAATTAATGCAGGCTAATCTATGCTGATTTAAACTCATCTTCCACTGACAGACTGGTGAAACCGAAGCCGTGGTATCGCTAGATCTACATGGTTGATTATTGTGTGGTCCCTCCACAATACTACAATTTGGAATGTCCGCTCCCGCAACCTGCACCTTCCCGCCATCGGGAGTTACATCGGCTCACGAATACGGCAGTTGTCCCTTTTTAAGTGCTTATCGCCGGGCAGTCAAACGAAAAATCTCATGCGGGTCCCCCTACCCTCCCTTTGGTGTGAATGTCAAACACAGATAGATGCACACCTGAGCGCGATGAAGAACTCTTTTCGGAGTTGTCCCATTGCGGCGCAGTAGCTCAGGCTCACGAGAGAAAACACAACCGTGTAAGACAGAATGACCACGTCGATGAAAAGCTGTAGCCACGACCGCGGCGCGAATGCAGTCGCCATCGGCCGCCGGCGAAAAACACACTGGTCGGTTGAACGTGGACGTGTCGGGGCTCGGTCGACCTACGGTGCGATTACAATGCCAGTCGGGTAATGCGCGCAAACACTCATGCAGCATCTAGTTGACTTAAGGTAAGCACCGCAGAAAGAAGGCGGGGCAACAGACGTAACAAAAGAAAAACGCAGCAAGCCTTGGGAAGCCCCATGTGTTTGCCTTCTCCTGCGTGGCCCCTGCCGATACGTCTATGTAGTACCGAACGGTGCGGACAGATTTTGGCAGACGACTACTACTACTACTGTCGATGTCGCACGACAGGAAGACGACAGACAGAAGTAAGGAAAAATAAAAACACACACAGAAAGACTACCCATTCGAGATATACCCACAGTCGAACGGGATGTGGTGGAGTCTTTTCAGTGAGTGGAGGGAAACCGGCTGGGTACTGAAGTCTAACTCACCTTGAGCGTGTTTTCGTGGTCGGACCGACGGTCAGATTCTCCTGTGCGACCTCGGCCGATACGTCTAGTACCGAACGGGTCGGACAGATTTCGGCAGACGACTACAGTACACTAATGTCGACGTCGCACGACAGAAGACGACAGAAGTAAGGAATAATAAACACACACACAGAAAGAAGTCTAATATTATTATAATTCGCCCACAGTTATAATTCGGCATCGAATCTAGCCCCAAATGCGGTGGAATAGGTCCCGGTTGAGGGCCGTGAAAAAAACGGGCGAGCACTCACTGCTGTACAGAATGACCCACGCCCTCAGCGAGGAACGCCCCAACGCCCATCCATCACAATTGCCGCGACTGCTGTTCCAAAGAACCAATCGGACCGCGCTACACACGACATCCCGTCACGATAAAAACCATGAAAAGGTTCAGTGCTCAGGCCATTTCCCGCATTTGGCTCACTGCCAAAAGTCAAAGCCACGCGTACCAGCGGGAGCCACACACACACTGTGAAAGCCGCGCCTCACTTGGCGGCTGTGGGAGAGGCACGTAGTAGGCGAATCGTCGTATACATAAACGAACGCTATCCTTCAACTGAGACGTTCCGCGGGTAAACACCCTTTTCTACAGCAATATGCAGGTTTGGTGATGGTATACTAACGCATCGGATGTCGTATAACGCGCGGTTCTTCTACTACATACATACAGTGTTTGTTGCTTCCTCGCCACAGCAGCCCTCCTCCCTTTTAGCACTCACGTGCCGTTCCGTCGCTCTCCTTGGTCGGGTTGGGAGGCCGGTGTGTGGGTGTGTGTGTGCTGAGTGACAGCAGTGCGCCTACAACTGCAACAACAGCAGTGCAGCGGCTGTGGTACGCTGCGGGTGGCGTGTGTGGCTGAGGTTTGGGTAGAGAAACACAGACAGAGTGATTTTTTTACTTTTTTTTCTTAGTACAAGTAAGTATGACACAACGAAACCATCTCTATCATAGAAAAGAGTCTGAGAAAGATTAGCAATGAATTCATAGCGTCAGAAAGTACCTGCCTTTTCGCCCCGGTCCGGGTTCATTTTTGTTTTTGAAAAAGATCGCCGCCTCTACCTTTGAGATAGCCCCGGGGCGTTTTTGCACCACCAACCGCCGGTAGGTACAGGCTATTGTAGGCCAGCCAAGAAGCTGATAAAATGGTTGAAAGCCAAATACACCACGATTTTTACGAGATGGAACCTGAAAGTTTGACATGTGGTTCGTTCGTATTTGTAGCACAACAAATACAACTGCAAGCCGTACTTTATACAAGGAAGGGCGATCGACGGCGACGATCGACGGAGCGACGGCGGCGCGATCGACGAAGGCGGCCCAAGGCCGCCC